GCCCGGCTACCCGGCATTGGCCTCTCGCCACTGGCAGGGACTGCCCAGCCCTGTGGATGCTGCCTTTGAGGATGCCCAGGGCCACATTTGGTTCTTCCAAGGTGAGTGGGGGTTGGGGATCTGCTTGAGAGACTTCCCAGAGCCAGGAATGTCATGGCCAAGGGAAGGGACAGACAGATGGATCCTCAGGGACACGGTGGGCAGGGAGAGATTCCCCAAAGCCTGGGGGCCAAGGGAGAGAGTGTGGCTCATTCCTCAGGCACAGCTAGGAGGCTCCCGGAGGCAGCTCTTGAGCTAGGAGTGGCATGGAAGGGATTGCAAGGTGCGGCCGCGTGTTGGTGCATTCAACCCTCAAAGCTACCCATGGGGTGGGGTTCTGGAGATGAGGCCTCTGGGGCTCAGAGGCAGTGAAATGACTCCCCCAGAGTGCAGTTAAGAAGAGGCAGGACAGGAAACTGATCCAGGTCTGTCATCCCAGAGCTGGGATTTCCATCTTCAACTGGCAGAGTAGAGAGCCTAGAGCATTGCAGATGCCAGGGACTTCACAAACACAGGCACGGCCTGGGAAAGCTGCAGGGGCCCAGAGAGCGGTCAGCAGCCATTTGTCACAGCCAAATGCCAGTGGAAGGAGCAGGAACCCAGGCAGAGAGGAGCCTCACCCGGGCGCAATTTACAGAGCATTCACTGCCCTAGCTTATCCAAGGCCTCCCACTTTCCTCCGTGGGTGGGGTGCTGAGCAGGCATTATTGGCCTGCATGTTTTACTAATGAGGAAACTCAGGCTGGGAGAGTCTGTGGTGGTAGCCAAGCAGGTCCACCGTGGCTGGGCATGGCAGTGGTGGCTGGGCAGGTCCTTGCAGCCTTCCCTCTTTGGCAGGTGCTCAGTACTGGGTATACGACGGTGAGAAGCCAGTCCTGGGCCCTGCACCCCTCACCGAGCTGGGCCTGGTGAGGTCCCCGGTCCATGCTGCCTTGGTCTGGGGTCCCGAGAAGAACAAGATCTACTTCTTCCGAGGCAGGGACTACTGGCGTTTCCACCCCAGCACCCGGCGTGTAGACAGTCCTGTGCCCCGCAGGGCCACTGACTGGCGAGGTGTACCTTCTGAGATCGACGCTGCCTTCCAGGATGCCGATGGTGCGCTGGGGGCGGGGCAGCTGGTGGGAGGTGGGTGCAGCAGCCTCATGTCCCACATGCCTGCAACAGGAAGCCTGGCTCTTCATTACAGGTCCTTTGTGCAGCGCCATCTGCCCTCCTCTCGGTGGCCGGGTGGTACTATATATAGTCTATGTTGCAGATGAGGAGACTGAGGGTCAGAGTGGAGCAAGGACTTACCCTGGTTCCTCAGCCACAGCCAGTAGAACAATCAACCGCTGTGCACTGAGGGCCAACAACACTCTAAGCTCCTTAGCGGTCCCATCCAGTTCCTAGAACAGCCCTCTGATGTGATGCCTGCTGTCAACCCAGTTTCCGGAGGAGCAAACAGAGGCTCAGGCCCTGAAGCCTCTAACCTGGCCTTCCACCCTGGTGGTCCCTGCTCCTAACCACTGACCCACCCGGTCTCCCACAACCACAGAGGGCCAGGACTCAAAGTCCAGTACTCCCTCTGTTGCTGGGCCCCTCTTCTAACCTCTTTCTCCCACATCAGGACCCGCTGGGAGAGCTATCCTAGGGTAGCCTCCAGCTCCAGGACTCCAGGATGCCCATCAATACCCTGGCTAGTGGGTGCAGGAGAGCATGATGTGGAGGGTGGTGGGGGCAACGGGACTTGCTTTCCTGAGAGGTGGGACTCAGGCCTCTGAGGCTCTGGGTACCTGTCCGGCTGAGTACTAACCCAGCCCAGACTCTGGGGCAGGAAGAAGGGCTCCCTAGAGGGAAGAGAGGTTCTGAAAGGTTGGCCCTGGATTCTCCCTCCTCGAGGAACTCAGCAGTGGCCAAGGCCTGCCCACGCAGCCCTCCCTTAGTGCCCATCCCTGGCACAGCCTGACAGGCGGGATTAGGGCCCAGTGTCCACTCGCCCAGGCTTGACCACGTTCTCTTCTCAGGCTATGCCTACTTCCTGCGTGGCCGCCTCTACTGGAAGTTTGACCCTGTGAAGGTGAAGGCTCTGGAAGGCTTCCCTCGTCTCGTGGGTCCTGACTTCTTCGGCTGTGCTGAGCCTGCCAACACTTTCCTCTGACCATGGCTTGGATGCCCTCAGGGGTGCTGACCCCTGCCAGGCCACGGATATCAGGCTAGAGACCCACGGCCATCTTTGCGGCTGTTGGCACCAGGCATGGGACTGAGCCCATGTCTCCTCAGGGGGGATGGGGTGGGGTACAACCATCATGACAACTGCAGGGAGGGCCACGCAGGTCGTGGTTACCTGCCAGCGACCGTCTCAGACTGGGCAGGGAGGCTTTGGCATGACTTAAGAGGAAGGGCAGTCTTGGGCCAGCTATGCAGGTCCTGGCAAACCTGGCTGCCCTGTTTCTATCCCTGTCCCTCAGGGTAGCACCACAGCAGGGCCGGGGGAACTGGAGTGTCCTTGCTCTATCCCTGTTGTGAGGTTCTTGCCAGGGGCTGGCACCAAAGCAAGGTGCTGGCCTTCAGCCCTGGCTGAGCAACTGGGCCGTAGGGCAGGGCCGTTTCCTGAGGTCAGTTCTTGGTAGGTGCTTGCATCTGTCTGACTTCTGGCTGACAATCCTGGAAATCTGTTCTCCAGAATCCAAGCCAAAGGGTTCAGAGTAAACTGGGGAGGGGGATTCTTCCTGCAGGAGACCCCGGGCCCTGGAGGCTGCAACATACCTCAATCCTGTCCCAGGCCGGATCCTCCTGAAGCCCGTATCGTAGCACTGCTATCCTCCAAAGCCATTGTATATATGTGTACAGTGTGTACAAAGCCTTTTTTTTTTAAAAAACAAAAACAAAAACAAAAACTGAGGACTGTCATTAAACACAGTTGTTTTCTACTTGCCTGCTTGGTCTCTTTTTGTGAATGCTCAGCCGGGATCGGGAGGCCTGGCCGCTGTCCAGCGCTATCCTGGGAGCCAGGGTCGCAATCCCCCAACCCAACCCTCTGGCCCTTGGGGCTGGGCACAGTGCTCAGGGCTCTTTTTGCTCCATTACATCACATTTTGCTACAGTGGCTTCTTAACTGGCTGGCCACTTTCCTACTTGTCCCCTCTGTTCATCCTCTAGAGTGGTGGTCATTTTATCTGCTCCTGCCACAGCCCAGCCCATCGTGAAACACACTCAGCCTTCCATACATAGTCTGTGGTTTCTGCATCCATAGACTCAACTAACCTCGGGTAGAAAAAAAAATGTTTAAAAAAAAGATGCTGCAGGGTGCAGTGGCTCATGCCTGAGACCCCAGCTCTTCGGGAGGCCGACGTGGGTAGATCACCTGAGGTCAGGAGTTTGAGACCAGCCTGGCCAAGATCGTGAAAACCCATCTCTACTAAAAATACAAAAATTAGCTGGGTGTGGTGGCAGGGGCCTGTAATCCCAGCTACTTGGGAGGGTGAGGCAGGAGAATTGCTTGAACTTGGGAGGAGGAGGTTACAGTGAGCCGAGATAGTGGCATTGCACTCCAGCCTGGGTGACAAGAGCAAAACTCCATCTCAAAAAATTAATAAAATAAATAAAGGATGGTTGCCTCTGTACTGAAAACGTACAGGCTTTTTTCCTTGTCATTGCTCCCTAAACAATATAGTATAACAACTATTTATATAGCATTTGCATTGCATTAGGTAATAGAAGGAATCTATAGTAATGATTTAAGGTACACAGGAAAACGTATGTAGGTTATAGGCAAGTACGACACCATTTTATATAAGGGACTTGAGGATCTGTGGACTTATGTTATCTTCAGGGGTCCTGGAACCAATTCCCATGATACTGAGGGGTGAATGTACTTTGGTTTCCCACCACTGTGAGGCCACAGAAGAAATCAACTTCAGTCACTGCCCTTCCCAAATCTCCAGGGCCTCTGTCCTACCTTCCAGCCCCATGTGTGTCTTTGTAACAGCATTTCTCATAGTTGCTTTTTTTTTTTTTTTTTTTTTTTTTTGAGAGACAGGTTCTCCTTTTGTTGACCAGGCTGGAGTGCAGTGGTGCAATCAGCTCACTATAACCTTGAACTCCTGGGCTCAAGGGATCTTCCTCTCTCCACCTCCCAAGTAGCTGGGGCTACAGGTGCACACCACCACGCCACACCCAGCTAATTTATTTTAAAATTTTTGTAGAGACAGGGACTTGCTGTGTTGTCCAGTCTGGTCTTAAACTCCTGGAGAGTTGGGATTACAGGCATGAGCCACTGTGCCCAGCCACAGCTGCAATTTCAGTAGACTGAACCGTATGAAATCATCAGTGGTGGGCCACTTTTTTACCCACTGCATTATTCAATCGGATACACGATTGCTTTGAGACTTTAGTTTCACTAGCTTCGGGCTGTAGGAGCCAAGAGGTGGAGCCTGTGGTTTCCCGTCCCACCGAAGGGCTCAGGTAAGCAGAGGGTAGAGCTAAGAAAGGAATGGAAGTGGAAAGTGTCCCTTCCCGCTCATGCTCATCTGATGCACCAGCCAAACCAAATACCACCTGGGCCTTTGAATGTCGCCAGTCCTTATCCGCTGTTGTCATTTGCCCACCTCCACAGCTGCAGAAACAGCCGTAGGCCCGGAACTGGGGTATCTGTTCCTAGGGGACCGCCTATCTGCTCAGTTGCATTGCCTGCTTTAGGGGTTGGGAAGCTAAGGCACGAGCCTGGGGTCCCAAACATGCCCAGACCACTCAGGCTTCCAGATACTAGGTCCTTCTCCTTCAAGCCTCACTTCGTTTCTTTTCCCCTGGGCTCCGTTCCAGTCCTGGCTGTAAGACTGGGAAAGCAGTGGCTATTTTTGTCCGTGAGAAGTTTTCCTTTCTACACCACGGCTCGGGAGGCACCCTGGGAGGAAGAGAAATTAGTCGTGGCTCCTTTAAGGGGTCCGCGGAGGCGCGCCCAGCCTTTTGTTTGAGCGGCGGCGCGCACGTCAGCGTCAACGCCAGCGCCTGCGCACTGAGGGCGGCCTGGTCCTCGTCTGCGGTGGCGGCGGCTGAGGAACCCGGCTGAGGCGCCGGTACCCGGCCCGTTGCGCATTTCGCCTTCTGGCTTCGGTTTCCCTCGGCCCGGCACGCCCCGGCCACGCCCAGGCCCCACCCTAGCCCTCCGGATCCCTCGCAGACCGGCTCCGGCCGCCCGTCTCTGCCGCCGCAATGATGATGATGGCGCTGAGCAAGACCTTCGGGCAGAAGCCCGTGAAGTTCCAGCTGGAGGATGACGGCGAGTTCTACATGATCGGCTCCGAGGTAGCCTGCAGCGCGTCCTCGCCCTCCTCGGGCTCGGCCCCGCGGGAGCCCGGGGGCGGGCCCGTGCGCCGAAAGCGCGCGTCTCCATTCATCGGGGCGGGCGGGCGCGCGCGCGCGCTCCGGGCTGCGGGGCGTGGCCTGTTGGGCGTGGCCCCGCCCCCCCACCGGTCTGGGGTTCCTTACCCCTGTCGCCGAGGTCTGTCGTCTGCAATGCTGCCAGGGCTTTATGGCGCCGCGAGAGGTTCCAGTGGTTCCGCGCTGGCTTGGTTTCCAGCCAGACTCAAAGAAATGGAATGTTGGGTTAGCCCCTGCGACGCTTGGGGGACTGCTGCCTTTGACTCTTTTTAGATGTCGTAAAATTCACGTGTACCCCTCCCCCCATTGCTGCTTGTGGGATCCTGAAATGGCAGGTTGGAAACCCCCTGGCTTAGCGAGGGCTCATCCCTGTTGTGTTTGCTGCCACTGAGGTGGGCAGTAGAGGTGTTCTGACCTTTGTCAAAACAGAAACAGTGAAGAAACAGATTGGAGGGAGATGTTTGCTTTCGGGTGGGTAAGGGCCCCATTTCTGAGCTGATGATTCTTTCAGCGATTCTGAAGCAATTGACACTTTCCATTATCTGTGAACTGATTCTGGATTATTACAGGGTCAAGAGAACAAGGATCTTTAATCCTTAAATAGCGTGGCAGTATTTTGTGGCATCAGCTGAATGACTGGCTTCGGAAAAACCCTCAATTGGCCCTTAAACGAGTGTTTGTCCCAAGTATATTAGGTTCTTGTTTTTTTGTCATTTATTTATTTATTTTTGAGACTGAGTCTCGCTCTGTCACCAGGATGGAGTGCAGATCTCGGCTCACTACAACCTCCGCCTCCCAGGTTCAAGCGATTCTCCTGCCTCAGCCTCCTGAGGAGCTGGGATTACAGGTGTCTACTACCACGCCCGCCTAATTTTTGTATTTTTAGTAGAGATAGGGTTTCACCACGTTGGCCAGGCTGCTCTTGAACTCCTGACCTCATGATCCACCTGCCCCAGCCTCCCCAAGTGCTGGGATTACGGGCGTGAGCCACTACGCCTGGCCTTATTAATAGTTTTTATCTTACTTTATTTTATTATTGTAAAAAGGTCTCACTTTGTTGCCCAGGCTTGGTACAGTGGTGCGGTCTCGGCTAACTGCAGCCTTGACCTCCTGGGGTCAAGTGATCCTCCTGCCTCAGCCTCCCAAGCAGCTGGGACTACAGATGTACATCATCATGCCCAGCTACTTTTTGTATTTTTTTTTTAGAGATGGGGTTTTGCTGTGTTGCCCAGGCTGGTCTTGAACTCCTGGGCTCAAGCGATGCTTGTACCTCAGCCTCTCAAAGTGCTGAAATTACAGGTGTGAGCCACCACACTCACACTCAGCCCAGTCATACTTTTTAAACCTTGTGGGTTTTTGCCTTCACAGTTGAGCATAGCATGAATGAATGAAGCCTCTGGATGGTCACACTGAGTCCCATGGATGAGACTAAGGTCAATAGCATCAGAACTTTAGTGTTAGCATTTTTCCACCTTTTTTTTTTTTTTTTTTTTTGAGAGGGACAACGTCTGACTCTATCACTCAGGCTGGAGTGGAGTGGTGCATTCTCAGCTCTCTGCAATCTCCACCTCCCAGGCTCACGCCATCCTCTCACCTCAGTCTTTCAAGTAGCTGGGACTACAGGCATACACCACCACCCCTGGCTAATATTTATATTTTTAGTAAAGATGGGGTTTTACCGTATTGCCCAGGTTGGTCTTAAACTCATGAGTTCAAGTGATCTGCTCATCTCCGCCTCCCAAAGTGCTGGGATTATAGATGTGAGCCATTGTACCTGGCTTCCATCAATTTTTATAAAACAAAAAGTGGGGGATGCAGTAACATTTTCTCGTTGTCACTTAAATTGCAACTGTTCAAAGATGACAGTGCTGGGGAGATGGAGCCAGTGCCTGTCCTTCTGCTGCAGTTCAGCATCATCCTCATTGACCAGTTGGCACCTGCCTAACTACAGGGTGCAAAACGTGTTGAGTTTCATCATGTGATACTAGGCGAGTTGTTTACCTGATCTAATGGGTGTAAAAGTAGTTAGTTTGGCTCGGAGTGGGTGACACTTTAAAAGGAAGCTTTTATTTATTAGTTGGAGCAAATTGAGAAGCTGTAAGTGGCCAAGCACGAAGAACCTTGGGAGGCCTGATTTCCAGCCCTGCTCTGCCCTGGTGTCACGTTTCTCATGTGTGTAATGTGATGCTTAGACTAGATGGTCTCCGGGATCTTCCCCAAAGCACATTTTAGTTTTTAGAAAGCTAATTACAGTCTTGTTTTTCAGCCCCCTTCATTCCTGGGCCTCCCAGTAAGAATAGTCTTCCTGAGGCCCAGCCTATGAGACTCAGCTGGAGAGGCACTTTGTTCTCTTGGGCCTGACTTAATCATCAGACCTTTGGAGTTTAGGCAAGGGTTCAAGGTCAGAGCTCTATTGAAATCAGTAGCTCCAGTGACAATAGTGGATGGATGGCCCCTGCCCTATGGAAAACAGACACTGTATTCAGAGAGGTGGGCCAGCTGTAGCAACATCCCCAGTGCCTCCATGCACCTTGAGAGAGCGTCTGCGTTTACTGTGAATATGTGTCACTGTTCTGCCATTAACAGGCAGCTGTATTTACTAAGCCAGAGTCATGGAGCTTTGAGGACCCTAACAGATACCCAAGCCCAGCACCTTCATTTTGTATTCAGGAAACCTAGGTCCCCAGAAGTCAAAGGCTGGTTCAGGGGAAAGCCAGGAAGGCAAGCCCAGTTTCCTAGTTCTGAAGGGGCTTTGTGGGGCATCTGGGAGTCTCAGATCCCTGCAGGGCCTGCACGATAGTCAGAGGGGAGAGTGTTGTCAATTTCTTTTCAAAAACGTAATGGAAATTCTACATTGACCATGATACTGGATGATACTGATGCACAAGCCAAATAACACAGAGGGGTCTCTGCTCTCTGTGTGGAAAGTGGATGACTCGCTGTGGCAGCTTTTCTCTCACAGTGTTTAGCAGCCCTGGTTGTTGATGATGTACATCGCTGATGAAAAATGGAGAAACGTTTTTATATAATAGTATGGCCGGGTGTGGTGGCTCACACCTATAATCCCAACACTTTGGGAGGCTGAGGCAGGAGAATCACTTGAGCCCAAGAGTTTAAGACCAGCCTGGGCAACATAGTGAGACCCTTGTCTCTACAAATGCTTTTTTTTTTTTTTTTTTTTTTTTAATAATTAGGCCAGATGCGTGGCTCACATCTGTCATCCCAGCACTTTGGGAGGCTGAGGCAGGCAGATCGCTTGAGCCCAGGAGTTCAAGACCAGCCTGGGCAACATGGTAAAACCCCATCTCTACAAAAAATACAAAATTAGCCGGTCATGGTGGTATGCAGCTATAGTCCCAGCCATTCAGGAGGCTGAGGCAGGAGGATCGCTTGAGCTGGGGAGTTCAAGGCTGCAGTGAGCTATGATTGCACCACTGTACTCCAGCCTAGGTGACAGAGTGATACCCTACCTCAAAAATAATCATAATTAAAAATAAATTTAAAAATTAAAAATATATACTATGTTGGGTAGATAAAATGGGACAAATAATAGAAGTGGTCCTTCATGGGGTGAAAAATCAGGGTTGCTGAGCTTTTGGCAGACCAGTAAAGAGACCCAGAAAACTGGAAGTGATCCCTGGTTAAAGACGGAGCCAGCACCTGGCACCCCACCTACTGGTCATCCCCTGCAGTGTGACTCTGAAGTGATCATACTTGAAAAGTCAGTGAGACAATAGGGTGCCCACATAAAAACTTTAGGACTAGATTTATTTTCCTTAAGGAAGTCACACTTTCAGTATTTGGTACAAGCAAACTGAAGCCATTGTTTGGGTCAGTGATGATTTATATAGCAGTCTGGTGATTGCCAATAAGTGCTTTGTAAACCCTTTGGAAAATTCCTTTGGTGTCCCTGGTTTGGGTTTTGTTACTAAACAAAGCAACACAGGCCATGGGGGAAATTATCTGGCATCTGTCTAAAATTAAAAGACCTTTTGGTGTTTATTACATTGTAAAAATATCAAAGTCTCGTCCTTAAGATAAAAGAAGGTCACAGAGGCCTTGCATTTCTGGAAAATGCCAGAGATCCTTAGCCCAAAATCAAAATCACTACGAGCTTCTTGCTAAGCTCTGGGGGCCTCCCTCTCAGGCATCTGGCCAGGCCTTTCGGAACTTGGTTCTGTTGTCGGGATGCACACACATGCCGGCCAGCTGTGTACTGCTCTTGAACCCTTGGTATCAGCAGAATGTGTTTAATGCCGCCAAAGGCTTGGCGCTTGGGGGCCACCTCGAGGCCTCTTTGTCTGTTGCCTGATGCAGTCTGTGCCAGGACCCTCCCCTTCCTGTGGCGCTAGGACCCTCCCCTTCCTGTGGCGCTGCGAGCCTCATAATGAGCCTTCTTGCTTTACTCACAGGTGGGAAACTACCTCCGTATGTTCCGAGGTTCTCTGTACAAGAGATACCCCTCACTCTGGAGGCGACTAGCCACTGTGGAAGAGAGGAAGAAAATAGTTGCATCGTCACATGGTAAAAAAACAAAACCTAACACTAAGGGTGCGTCTTCACGAGGGTTTGTAAACCTGTTTCAAAACCACTCGCTTATGTCATGAAGATAAAACGTTTTCACTCCAGAGTGTCTTCACTGCAGCCTTGGCCTTAGACGGGCAGGGAGCATCCCAGGGGCGGGCCACCCTGTGGGCACTCCAGGTGAGGAAGCAGCTCCACGGAGCCATTGGTGGTCCACCATCAGGTATTTCCAGCAGGGCCAGTGGGTACGTGAGTGGGCCGGGGCCAGGACACTAGCAGGTGCTGTGAAGACATGTTGGTCTCAAAACGTTTTAGGAATGCTGCAATGCTCTGCCATCTGCCGTGAGTGTGTTGCCATAATCATCTTCCATGCAGCCCAAGTGGCGGGTGGTGGCCCCAGCTCCCACTCCCCTCTGGGGCTTTCACGCTTGCGTCCCAGAGCACATCCATCCCATAGCACTTCATCCTGGCAGCCAGCGTGCTAGAGCTCGTGTGCATGTCCCTGCTCCTGGTGGCCCGAGCGTGCCTGGGGCTTGCTAGTTGAGCCACCCGACGCTAGTGAAACTAGTGGGCTTTGGGTCACGGCAGCTCTGTGCAGGGTGAAAGGGTGCTTCAGACACTCTGGGGGCTCTGTGGGAGACACTCCCATGGAGACATTGGGATATGGACACAGCATGCCCTTTGCCAGGTGGCGAAACTGCCTCCCACGTGGCGATGGCGCCTTGTAGACAGCTGCCTTGGACCTGGGTGTGTCTGTGAGTGCGTGTGCAGTGCTTCGTAGGCGCAGTGCTTCCTAGTCTGTCCTGTCCTGTGTGTTTGTGTCTGTAGGTGCTGCTGTGGTTTTGTCCACTGTGGGAAAGTAGTGGTTCTTTTAATGCAGGAGCCGGAGCTGCTTTTTGATCTGCTGCTTTGACATTTCCACTCACTTGCTTAAAACAGTTTCCTTTTTGTTCCCCCTCCTCCCCTAGCAGAGCATCAGTTGCTAACAGTGAGTCCCCAGCTTTGCTTCCCCCTCTGCAAGTCCCTGGGCTAAGTCTTGGGAGATACCTTCCCCATAAGCAATTGATTTCTCTAGGAGAAGCCAGGCTGGGCCCGCAAATAGGCAGCAATTCTTGACGGAGGATCCCCGCAAGAGCTAGGGGTCTAGCCACCTAGTATCTGTCCTGCTTTCCAGGCAGCACGTCTGGACCGGCTTGGGGATGGAAATTCGTGTTTGGTGTGAAGCAGCTCTTTCCAACTCTCTGGGCTCTTGTTTTAAAAGAAAAGTATTCTTCCATCTTCCATTCCATCTCCCCACCTCGCATCGTGTTGTGGATTGTGGTGGTGTCAGACCTCTTCCCACTGGGGTGTTACTCTGAGGCTTTTCTTTTCCTCTGAGTGAGGACCAAGAGAATATGTTCTGGAGTGGAGTGTCCCTGCTGGCTGTGCTGGATTCTAGTTGTTGGTGCTGCCCTGAGCACTTCCCTCTGCCCCTGAGCCAGTGGTCCTGGGGCAGATGAGTCCAAGTCAGTCCCGTTGGAGGCTCTACCCAGTAGGACTTGGAAGTAAAGCACTCAGTCCAGATTGCCCTTTTGGAAGAGGCCAGCATTCGGCAGTAGTAAGTTTGACACCTTGCTTTTCCCACCTCCCGCATGCGAGGACCTTGATGTGCTGCATCCACTTGGCTGGCTGCTGTGTGCCACCGCCACCAGCAGAGTGACCCAGTGATGTTTCTCTGTTACAGATCATGGATACACGACTCTAGCCACCAGTGTGACCCTGTTAAAAGCCTCGGAAGTGGAAGAGATTCTGGACGGCAATGATGAGAAGTACAAGGCTGTGTCTATCAGCACGGAGCCCCCCACCTACCTCAGGTAATTCGTTCCTGGCCAGGGCATCTCTGGGGACACCTGTGAGGTCTTTTCTCAGACTCAAGAACTGCTTGGGTTGAAGTTGAATTGAAATGTCTTTTTTTTTTTTTTTTTTTTGAGATGGAGTCTCTGGAGTGCAGTGGCACGACCTTGGCTCACTGCAACCTCTACATCCCAGCTTCAAGCAATTCTCCTGCTTCAGCCTCCCTCCCAAGTAGCTGGGATTACAGGATTACAGGCACCCCCCCCCCCCACCACGCCTGGCTAATTTTTGTATTGAAACACTTTTTAACAGTTTCCTCTGTGCTCGTGCATTTTCTTTGCCAGGTTTATAAGCTTCTTCTGTGTCATTGGAATTTATAAGAAACGTAAGCCAAGTCCTGGATTCTGGAAACAGTTATGAATGCTTGGAAAGTGAGACTCGTAGAGCACAGTGGCTCACACTTGTAATCCCAGCTCTTTGGAAGGCTGAGGCATTGCTTGAGGCCAGGAGTTCACAAGCCTGGGGCAACACAGCGAAACCTCATCTCTTAAAAAACAAATTAGTGGGAATAATTTGTCAAAAAAATTAGTGGCTCACAGAAACTCACAAAAGAAACAAATAATAGATTTGAATGTATACAAACTTAGAACCTGCCCAGGTGCGCTGGCTCACGCCTGTAATCCCAGCACTGGGAGGCCAAGGTGGGTGGATCACCTGAGGTCGGGAGTTTGAGACCAGCCTGACCAACATGAAGAAACCCCGTCTCTACTAAAAATACAAAATTAGCCGGCCATGGTGGCATATGCCTGTAATCCCAGCTACTTGGGAGGCTGAGGCAGGAGAATTGCTTGAACCCGGGAGGTGGAGGTTGCAGTAAGCTGAGATCGTGCCATTGCACTCCAGCCTGGGCAACAAGAGTGAAACTCCATCTCAGAAACAAACAAAGCACCACCACCACCAACAAACAAAACTTAGAACCTTTAGAAGAGTATTTACAGTAATAATTAAAAAGACAAGTAAAAGTTATGATGTTATATCTAGAATCTGTACATCTTGATTTATACAACAAACTTGGATACCCCAGCAAATAGGTAGAAGATGGTCCACACCTTGAAGTACAAAGAGTAAGCAGACGTGGGAAGAATTTGCATTCATGCATAATTTCAGAAATTTCAGGCATAAGACTGGGCACAGTGGCTTATGCCTGTAATCTCAGCACTTTGGGAAGTCAAGGCAGGAGGGTCGCTTGAACCCAGGATTTAACTATGTTGCCTAGGAGACCAGCCTAAGCAACACAGTGAGATCTTGTCTGTACTGAAAGTTAAAACAATTAACCGGTTGTGTGATCACACCACTGTACTCTTTTTTTTTTTTTTTCAAGATGGAGTCTTGCTCTGTTGCCCAGGCTGAAGTGCAGAGGTGCAATCTCAGCTCACTGCAGCCTCCACCTCCTGGTTCAAGCTATTTTCCTGCCTCAGCCTCCTGAGTAGCTGGGACTACAAGCATGTACCACCATGCCTGGCTAATTTTTGTATTATTAGTAGAGATGGGGTTTCACCATATTGGCCAGGCTGGTCTTGAACTCCTGACCTCACAATCCGCCTGCCTTGGCCTCCCAAAGTGCTGGGATTACAGGCATGATCCACCGCGCACAGCCCACACCACTCTACTCTAGCCTGGATAACAGAATGACACCCTGTCTCAAAAATTAAATAAATAAATAAAAATTCCAAGCATAAAACAAAAAACTGGCAGGGAGGCGGTGGCTCACACCTGTAATATGGTAAAACCCCATCTCTACTAAAAATACAAAAATTAGCCAGGCATGGTGGTGTGTGCCTGCAGTCCCAGCTACTTGAGAGGCTGAGGCAGAATTGCTTGAACCCGGGAGGTGGAGGTTGCAGTGAACTGAGATTGCACCACTGCACTCCAGCCTGGGCAACAGAGCGAGACTGCGTCTCAAAAACAACAGCAACAACAACAACAAAAAAAACAAAAAGACTGATAGTGTGAGAAACTGGGGAAGGTGTGTTAGAGCTGCACTCATATGTGCTGGAGGTGTTTTTTTTTTTTTTGAGACAGAGTTTTCACTCTTGTCACCCAGGCTGGAGTGCAGTGGCACGATCTTGGCTCATTGCAACCTCCGCCTCCTTGGTTCAAGCAATTCTCCTGCCTCAGCCTCTTGAATAGCTGGGATGACAGGCACATGCCACCATGCTTGGCTAATTTTTTTGTATTTTTAGTAGAGATGGGGTTTCACCATGTTGCCCAGGCTGGTCTTGAACTCTGGACCTCAGATGATCTGCCCGCCTCAGCCTCCCAAAGTGCTGGAATTATAGGTGTGAGCCACCATGCCCTGCCAGGGGGTCCTCTTTTTATAAAGCATCCTGACATCAAACTTTTTTGTTCTCTGGCCCATTAATATCACCTTGGGGAATTTGTCCCAAAGAAACATTTTTAAAGAACAAAATGAATCCCAGCACTTTGGGAAGTCAAGGCAGGAGGGTCTTGACTGTATATACTGAGATTAACCCACTATATATACAGAGATTCTTTGTAGCATTATGAATAATACTGGAGAATATGGAGTCGCTTAAGTATCCAGACTTAAGGAACACCTAGGTAAGTGACGGGTCAGCCACTTGAATGGACAAGGGTGTGACCCATACATGGTGTAATTAAGTAGATTCTGCAGTGAGCCGAGACAGGGCTCCTGTGGGTGAGATGTGCAGAAAACAAGATTGTACCCATCTGCCTTGTGCATTCAGCTCTCAAGAAAGTATGCATTTCTCTGCACAAAGCCCAAGGAACATTAAGGGAGAAAAAGGATTATTCAGAGTGATGTGGCTATGGAAAATCATTTCTTTTTTATGATTCCCCCAAAGAAAGGTGGCATGCCTCCAGGCTGGCCAGTGTTACAGACGTGTGCTTTGCAGATTCTTCTTCCCCCAAGGGATGTGGTAAGAACATAAGGATGGCTGACCTTCCCAAGGAAGTTGCAGAAGGAAATTGTGTACATATGGACGGCACTTTAATTCTGCACACGTCAGCTGGGAATCTTTTATAGGGCGATAAAACAGTTTCATGGTGATCATGTCATGTGAGGAGCAGCTGCAGGAGTGGAATCCTATTACCCTGGAGGTCAGGTCTCCAGGGGTGGGGGCTGGCAGAGGTTTGAGGGAAGTGGCTTTGGCTTGGCTCCACACTACTCAGTCGGCCCAGTAAGGAGACTGGCACCCTCCCCATCCTGTCACTGGGCAATTCGAGCAGAGGCTGAGTGCCCTCTCTCAGGGATCCTGGGATTGCAATGGAAGGAAGGTTTGTTTATTTATTTATTTAGTTATTTATTTATTTACTTTTGAGACGGAGTTTTGCTCTGTCACCCAGGCTGGAGCACAGTGGCGGGATCTCAGCTCACTGCAGCCTCTGCCTCCCAGGTTCAAGCCATTTCCCTGCATCAGCCTCCCAAGTAGCTGGAATTACAGATGCCTGCCACCACACCTAGCTCATTTTTTGTAGTTTTAGTAGAGATGGTTTCACCATGTTGGCCAGGCTGGTCTCGAACTCCTGACGTCAGGTGATCTGCACGCCTCGGCCTTCCAAAGTGCTGGGATTACAGGCGTGAGCCACCATGCACGGCTAGAAGGTTGAATTTTATGACTTAGATTTGCAGATTCTGTGTATGACTGAACATGTTACATGCACTGTGTCTGGTGATACTTGCATTGTCCACTTGAGGTGGTAGCAAGACCTAGAAATGAGAACTTGCTACTGACATAGGTTAGGATGAGGGGCAGGGGCTCAGCCCAGGTTTAACATATCCAATCAGAAAAAAGGAAAGATGGTCAAGATTTGTGGTTTCCAAATACAGGCTGAGCTGCCTGGGAATCACCCATGGAAGCTGCAAAGAACCTGTCTTCTTGGGCCCCTCATCAGAGGTGGGAAGTCACTTCCACCTGGGTGGGGCTCAGGAATGTGCTACTTAAAATTTTGCATTCTGGGGTCAGGTTTGGTGACTCACACCTGTATGCTCAGCACTTTGGGAGGCCAAGGTGGGAGGATTGCTTGAGACCAGGAGTTTGAGACCAGCCTGAGCAGCATAGTGAGACCCGATCTCTATAAAATTAAAATTTTTTAAAAATTGCCCTCTTTGAGTCTGAGTGGCCAGGATTAGGAACTATGACCCAGATAGGCTATAGTGGGGACCCCTTTCTTGCTGTCCCCTCTCTTAGTCCCTGCCCAAACTGATTCATGTTCTCCAAATTGGGTACTACAAAACTCTCCCTCTCCCTACCAGCAATCAACGGGTAGTCCCGTCCTTCGCATCAGACGTGTAAGTGACCGCCACTTTAGAAGGGAAAGGAGTTAAAGGGGCCCAGAGTCCAGGCAGGTCTTGGCCATTGCTTCTGCCCTCCCCCACCCCCTGGAAAGGAGAAGGACCTTTATGCTGTCCTCGCGGGTTCCTCTTTAGAGGGCGTCGTCAAACGTTTGTCATCGCTTGCTCTGAACTGTTGAGTAGTTGTTGCAGAAGCGGTTGTGCAGGTGTTGGGGCCACACAGGGAAGTGACACGCAGTTGCTGCCTGCTCCTGCTCACAGCCTTGCCGGGGAAAAGGAGAACGCACAGAACACAGCAGGCACCAAGTGCTCTCATTTGTCTCAGCCCTCCCTGGAGCCTTCGTTTAAAATAGCTTTTTTTTTTTTCTTCGAGATAGGGTGTTGCTCTCTCGCCCAGGTTAGAGTGCAGCGTCATGATCTCGGCTCACTGCAACCTCCGCCTCCCGGGTTCACGTGATTCTCATGCTTCAGCCTCCTGAGTAGCTGGATTACAGACATGTGCCACCATGCCTGGCTAATTTTTGTATTTTTGGTAGAGTTGAGATTTCACCATGTTGGCCAGGCTGCCATTGAACTCTGTTTTTTTCTTTTTTTTTTTTTGAGATGGAGTTTCGCTCTTGTCACCTAGGCTGGAGTGCAATGATGTGATCTCGGCCCACTGCAACTTCCATCTCCCTGGTTCAAGCAATTCTCCTGCCTCAGCCTCCTGAGTAGCTGAGATTACAGGTGCCTACCACCACACCTGGCTAATTTTTCTATTTTTAGTAGAGACAGCATTTCACCATGTTGGCCAGGCTGGTCTTGATCTTCTGATCTCAGGTGATCACCCGCCTTGGGCTCCCAAAGTACTGGGATTACAGGTGTGAGCCACCATGCGTGGCCCCGTTTCAAACTCTTGATCTCAGGTGATCCTCCCACCTTGACCTCCCAAAGTGCTGGAGTTACTGGTGTGAGCCACTGTGCCTGATGCTTTTGATACTTTCTTAGTAGTAAAAGCAACCTGGAATTTGGGAGAAAAGATCAAACTCTTAATGGGACATGCATTATTTAAATTACTTTGGATGTCACCTCTGCAAGGTATTTATCAACCCATCTTCTCACTTCTCTGGAAGCTCAGAGGCCAGAGGCCTTGCCTAGTGTATCTCAGGATGGCCAGCACATCTAAAATCACAGCCTGATCATGTCTCCTCCTTCAAAACCCTGGGGATTCCCAGCCACCTGCTGAGTAAAGTCATCTTCTTATGGAGCATGTGAGACCTGTGATCAGCCCCCTCCCTGGGATCCTCCTCGCTGGACTGCCCCTTGGTGTCTCCCTGCTGCTGCCCATGCCCCTCCCCCAAGTGAACCCTGACTCAGTGTCTAAGGCTCTGCTCTGTTGTCCACGCCTTTGGGATGCCTCCTCGTACCACTGCCCTGCATCCAGGAAGTGCTTCTATGGAGCCATGCCCGGCTCACAGTGCAGCACACCACAGTTGTGGGTTAGCTGCTGACCTGCATGTTGGGCTGTGTCTGGTGCCCTTCCATACCTTCGCCCTTGCCCATGTACCTCTAGCATCTGATGACAGCCTGGGGAGCAGGCCCCTGCAAAATCAGGTGCACAGACAACTCCCACCGGAGCCTCGAGACTGACGGAGGTACAGTGGGCATCCTCTGAGCATGAGTTGATGCCTGGTGGGCAGGATCAGGCTCCTAGACTAATAGGAGGGCTTTTCTTGTATTTCCTCAGGGAACAGAAGGCAAAGAGGAATAGCCAGTGGGTGCCCACCCTGCCCAACAGCTCCCACCACCTGGACGCCGTGCCATGCTCCACGACCATCAACAGGAACCGCATGGGCCGGGACAAGAAGAGAACCTTCCCCCTTTGGTGCGGACGCGCCACTGCGCTCACTCTCGATACTGATTCCACTTTAGCTCTCCAGCGGATTTCAGTTCCCTCCTCCCCAGAAAAGCACTGCTTTGACCTTGTGTTCCCCATAAGGCTGCAGTACCTCCTCCTTTTCGAACTGCTGTTTCCCTGACTTCCAGGACGTCATGGACAGTCTCCCTGGCTCTGCCTGCTGTCACCTTGCTGTGTCCTCCTCGCCTCCCTGGCCCCTCAAGTGGAGTTCTGGGGGTGCAGTCCTCGGGCCCTTTCTCTGCCCTCAGCTTCTCACAGCCTGGTGCTGCCACCACCACACTCCGCCCAACTCTCACCCTGCCTCAGGCCTGAGAACACGCTCACTGCTGTCAGAACACCCAGATCTCCTGCCCTGCAGCTCCCTGTGCTGAGGCTCAGGCTGGTTCTCCCTCTTCCCCTTTCCTTTCCTCTTTCCTTCCTTCCCTCATTCGTCCTTCCTTCCTTCTGTCATTCCTCCTTCCCTCCCTCCCATCCTCCTTCCTCCTCCTTTTCCTTCTCTCTTCCGTCCCTCCATCTCTTCCCATCCCTAGTTGACTGTCCCCTTCTCCATTAGAGGGGCCACCCCTTTTCTCCAGCATCCTTGTCCCTTTCCCGGTCTGTTTCCCAGTGCATTCATGCCTGACCCTCAGCTCATTTCTCTCCGTGTCTTCCATCTGCTTCCCAAGATCCCTGGGGGCACTTCTCAGCCCTCTCCATGCTTCCAGACGCCCTTAGGTTTCTTCTGTCCTCCAGCGCCATCTTGCCAACCTGCCTGCCTGACTCTTCCCTCTTTATCGTCCCAAAATACCCAACTCCATTGCTTGGAATCCTCCTGGGACTCCCTCACGCCGGTGGCCAGTTTGCATAGCCTGAGAGGAGGACTGTGGGTGCTTCAACATCCTCTAGCTTTGCGGCATCCCGGACCACTGCTCCTCAGGGCATCTGCGCTCTGTGGTCCTGGTGCATCCTCAGCAGTTCCTCCATTCGCCTGCCTTGGCCTTGCTGGAATATTTCCTCTGGAAATGTCCTTCTCCTTTCCCACAGCCTTCTATGAAAGTCCGACTGACTTTCAGGCTTCAGTATACCTTCGAAGTACGTCTGGGTTTTGTTCCAACACTGCCCAAGTCGATCCTATTGCAGACAGCCTGGTGCTTGTCATTTATGGCCCCACCTGTCCCCTTAGACCGTGGCCCCAGGATTCCTGTTGGGCTCATCTGCTCCCTCAGCTGTTAGCTGACAAGTGGCCTTGTTCTCCAGATGGGTTTGCAGAGGCCTGCTGTGCAGAGAGGGAGGCTGAAGACTCACATCCCTAGGGCCCTGGCACCCTCACTGACTGTTGCTGCCATTTTGCTTTCAGCTTTGACGACCATGACCCTGCTGTGATCCACGAGAACGCATCTCAGCCTGAGGTGCTGGTCCCCATCCGGCTGGACATGGAGATCGACGGGCAGAAGCTGCGAGACGCCTTCACCTGGAACATGAATGGTACAAGGCAGTCGGGCTCTGCTGGGGCTGGCCCCAGCCCCTGTATGTCATGTAGGAACAGTCCCCTTTCCTGCCAGCTGCCTGTCAGGCAGATTCTGGACCTGACACATAGGACATCAGGGCACAGTTTTGGAGTCTGGGAGTCTGGGTTCAGTCCTGGTTCTGCTGCTGTTTACTGTGGATTGGGCATGTGAGCATTGGACTCCTTTCCCCATACTGAGGTTGGGTAGCCCAAGGGGCCTGGCATGGGAGGGGGCTGGTCCGCATAGCATGGATGATGATGACAGTGCCCCTCGGACCCAGTTCAGCCCCCAAGCCCTGCACACACCCGCCTTGGGTCCTGTCCGCCACGCTGCTTCTGCTGTCGGGGCTGCCCACGTGCTCCCGTGCCGCTCTCCTCCCCTGACTGGTCATCTCTTTGGACATCCCTACGCTGTAAGGCCTGGGTCAGATGCCGTCTATTCTGGCTCTTCCTGAGCTTCCAAAGCCTGAAGAACTCTGTCTTTGTGCAAATGTAGACAGCAAAATTAGAAGGATATGCATCCCAGGTGTTTAGAGTGCTATCCCATCTGGGAGGGAGGATTGTGCATGCATTTATTCGTTTCTCTATTTTTTTCTAAGTCTGTTAGAATGTATTTTTAAATTTTATTTTATTACTTTTTTTTTTTGATACAGTCTCACTCTGTTGCCAGGATGGAGTGCAGTGGCGTGTTCTCAGGTCACTGCAGCCTCTGCCTCCTGGGTTCAAGCGATTCTTGTGCCTCAGCCTCCTGAGTAGCTGGGATTACAGGCAAGCACCACCACATACAGCTAATTTTTGTATTTTTAGTGGAGATGGGGTTTCACCATGTTGGTCAGGATGGTTTCAATCTCCTGACTTCGTGATCCACCTGCCTTGGCCTCCCAAAGTGCTAGGATTAACAGATGTGAGCCACCACGCCCGGCTATTATTACTATGTTTTTTTTTTTTTTTTAGATCTTACTGCATACCAATTTTTTTTTTTACTTAGTGTCTGTATCCTGCTGAACTTTTTTTTTTCTTTTTAGCACCTGCTGCTCTGAATTTTTTTTTTTTTTTTTTTTTTTTGAGACGGAGTTTCGCTCTTGTTACCCAGGCTGGAGTGCAATGGCACGATCTCGGCTCACCGCAACCTCCGCCTCCTGGGTTCAGGCAATTCTCCTGCCTCAGCCTCCTGAGTAGCTGGGATTACAGGCATGTGCCACCATACCCAGCTAATTTTTTGTATTATTAGTAGAGACGGGGTTTCACCATGTTGACCAGGTTGGTCTCGATCTCTCGACCTTGTGATCCACCCGCCTCGGCCTCCCAAAGTGCTGGGATTACAGGCTTGAGCCACCGCGCCCGGCCGTTTTTTTTTTTTTTTTTTTTTTTTTTAAGACGGAGTCTTTCTCTGTCTCCTGGCTGGAGTGTAGTGGAATGATCTTGGCTTACTGACACCTTCACCTCCCCGGTTGAAGCGATTCTCCTGCCTCAGCCTCCCAAGTAGCTGGGACTACAGGTGCCCGCCACCACGCCCAGCTAATTTTTGTGTTTTTAATAGAGACTGGGTTTCATCATGTTGGCTAGGATGGACTCAATCTCTGAACCTTGTGGTCTGCCTGCCTTGGCCTCCTAAAGTGCTGGGATTACAGGAATGAGCCACTGTGCCTGGCCCTGAAAGAATTTTTATAGTTAATATATTCTTTATGTTCAGACAAAGTGCAGTGAATATCATCTTTATTTATTTTATTTTACTTTTTTTTTTTTTTTTGAGACAGTCTCACTCTGTTGCCCAGGCTGGAGTGCAGTGGCGTGATCTCGGCTCAGTGCAACCTCTGCCTCCTGGGTTCAGGCAATTCTTCTGCCTCAGCCTCCCTAGTTTTAGTAGCTGGGACTACAGGCATGGGCCACCATGCCCAGCTAATTTTATTTTTTTTGTATTTTTAGTAGAGACAGGGTTTTACCATCTTGGCTAGGTTTTACCATCCTGACCTCTTGATCCGCCTGCCTCGGCCTCCCAAAGTGCCGGGATTATAGGCGTGAGCCACCGTGCCCAGCCTCTCTCTGATTTCTTTAATCTGCAAATGGTGTGGCATAGTCTGTTGGGTTGAGGTTTGGCCTTTGTTTGTGAAAACTCCCCTTGCCCTAGATGTCTCCACAGCAGATGACATAGTTGCAGCATTTTTCTCTCAGAAGGGATTTCCTCAGGGAGGCGAGTATGAGTGGTTGTTGATGTGTGGCTGCCTTGAGCTTTCTGGCAGGATTAGGCTGCTTCCTTTGGTTATCTTCAGGCACTCAGCGTGCTAGGCCTGAGTCCGAAGGCTTCTGTCCAGCCCTGAGAAGAAGGCCTGAGAGCCATGTGCCCAGGTGCCTGTCCCCTCGGGCCCACAGGCCCGCTGGTAACGGGGGTTGCCAGTGGGAGGAGCCGTGGGTGAGGGAGGACATTGGTGAGAGACTGCAGGAGGTTGTGTTGAGTGTAGATGGGGACAGGTACAGTTCACTGGCCATGCCCCAGCACAGGGACAGGACAGCCCGTGGGGACCAGGCCACCACCAGTGCTACACAACGCCTGTTACCTCTGCAGAGCTCCCCGCTTATCTCTGCTTGCTCACATTATAGTTATTTGTTAATTCTTGTCTCTCCCTCTCCATTTCAACTCTTTAAGGTCAGGGGCCTTGGTTTTTTTTATTGCCGTTTTTCTTTATTTTTTTCCAGGCAGAGTTTTGCTCTTGTTGCCCAGGCTGGAATGCAATGATGCTATCGTGGCTCACTGCAGCCTCCACCTCCCAGTTTGAGCAATTCTCCTTCCTCAGCCTTCCAAGTATCTGGGAGTACAGGCATGCGCCACCATGACTGGCTAATTTTGTATTTTTAGTAGAGATGGAGTTTCACCATGTTGGTCAAGCTGGTCTCGAACTCTTGACCTTAGGTGCTCTGCCTGCCTTGGCCTCCCAAAGTTCTGGGATTACAGGCGTGAGCCACCGCATCTGGCTGCCTTTTCTATTAGCATAGAATCTAGCCCAGCATAGGAACTTAGTTGTTCAAACTGGATCAGTCCATGCCCTGTCTTGTTACCTTTCTTTGGGCAACATACAGAAAGTTCCTGTTTTTACCCCTGCCCTGTTCCAGAAAGGATGTAAGGAAGCTTACAATAAGGGCACTGGGCCCAAATGACTAAAGCAAATGAAAATGGAGTGGTTAGGAAAAACTGGGTAAAGAGGAAAATGAAGCTAGGTGGTCTAAGAGGCAGGTCAAACTCAGATTTTATTTGGTGAACATGGCTGGGAGTTGGGCATGGCTCTGGGCCTTTTTAGAACCAGGCAGAATGAAACGTGAAGATCATTTGCACACTCAGTGTGGTCTAGGTTAGCAGCACCCTGTGGCTCCGAAGAAGTAGAATCACAGGTGGTCCTGAAATCTGAGATTTCCTACAGCCCTCAGGAAAAGGGCATGGTGCAGTAAGTAAGGAAGACCAGGATTGCCAGCGAACTCTGCAGTGAGTTTCACTGGGCTGTTCCTCCTAGGAGTCTTCATGTAAAATACGATGCCCATGGAAAGTAATTTAGAACAAAGTCTTGTCTTTTTTTTTTTTGAGACAGTCTCACTCTGTTGCCCAGGCTGCTGGAGTGCAGTGGTGTGATCTCGGCTCACTGCAACCTCCACCTCCTGGGTTCAAGCGATTCTCCTGCCTGAGCCTTCTGAGTAGCTGGGATTATAGACACGCACCACCATGCCTGGCTAGTTTTTGTATTTTTGGTAAAGACAGAGTTTTACCATGCTGCTCAGGATGGTCTCAAACTCCTGACCTCGTGATCTGCCTGCCTCAGCCTCATACAGTGCTGGGATTATAGATGTGAGCCACTGCGCCCTAGAACAAAGTCATAACAGGTGGAGAACCAAAATAGTGTTGTTCTGTGAACTCTTCCTCAGCTCTGGGTGGTATTTGGCATTTGTAAGAACTGTGATTCTTAACTGGTAGTTAGAAGGCCATTGCCAAAATTGCTATTGATTTGCTTTGAAATTTCAAATCATCTTAAAGGTGGACATGAGAGTCTCTATCACAGAGGGATTACTTATGTGAAGTAGCATTACTTGAGTAGCTCGAATGAACTGTATGTTCTTCAGGCCACCTTTGGAATCAGGATTGGTCAGGCACAGTAGCTCAGGACTGTAATCCCAGCATTTTGGGAGGCTAAGGAGGGAGAATCATTTGAGGCCAGGAGTTTGAGACCAGCCTGGTCATCATGGCGAAACCCCATCTCTACTAAAAATATAAAAATTAGCTGGGTGGGGTGGTGCATGCCTGTAGTCCCAGCAACTTGGGAGCCTGAGGCATAAGGATTGCTTGAACCCAGGAGGCAGAGGTTGCAATTAGCTGAGATGGTGGCGTTACACTTCAGCCTGGGCGACAGAGTGAGACTGTCTCAAAAAAAAAAAAAAAAAAAAAGGAGGCCAGGCAGGTGGCTCACGCCTGTAATCCCAGCACTTTGGGAGGCCGAGGTGGGTGGATCACAGGGTCAGGAGTTCAAGACCATCTTAGCCAACATGGTGAAACCCCATCTCTACTAAAAATAGAAACTTAGGTATGGTGGCATACCTAATGGCTGGCTAGGTATGGTGGCACATGCCTGTAATCCCAGCTACTCAGGAGGCTGAGGCAGGAGAATCACTTGATTTGGGTGGTGGAGGTTGCAGTGAGCTAAGATCCCACCGTTACACTCCAGCCTGGGCGACAGAGCAAGACTGCATCTCAAAAAAAGAAAAAGGAATCAGGATTTTTCTCAGGCTTCTGCTAGGTGTTGTGATGAGTTTGAGGTTATTGTCTCTGAAAAGGACTTGAAGTAGGGGCTTTTCTGAATCACTGGCGAAGTATGGTGTCACCTGCCTTAACAGCCTGCTGAGGGAGGGAAGTATTAAAATCTTCCACAAAAGATGAGTTGCCTAACTAGAACACATGTGGACGTAGATGCCACCTGCGCCCAAAAGGGGAACAAGGGAA